GTGTGTGCGTGCGCACCTGGAAGTCATGGCGACCTCTGGTGACTGACCCCTACTGGGGGCCTGGAGGATATTCAGAGAGGTGGCTGAATAAAGCCTGCCCCCGCCTTCCGCCTCTGGTATTCCAAGGAGGTCTCCCTCCCAAGTACATTCCAGGGTCGACCCTGCTTAGCTTTTGAGATCTGACGAGATCAGGCCTGCCTGGGCTATCCAGGTCAGGGCCAGAGTCATGCACTGTTGAAGAGATTCCCTCTGACCCTTTTCTGCCCAGGAAACATGGAGACAAATCCACAGCTGAAGCACAGTTCATTGAGCCACAACAGGACAGTCAGAGCGCTGAAGCAAACCTCCCATCCCCTCCAGGCAGAAACAGATCCACTCCCGGCACGTAGCTAACATGGGGCCCACGGGGCCCGGCCCCCTAGTGTTTCTTCTGGGCCCTCTCCCTCCTGGGCTGCCCCCAAAGTGCTCCAAATTACCACCTGCCCTGTACTTCCATTTAATTAGCTGGTGGGCCCCCCGAGGCCCCCTCCCAAAGAATTCCCTAGCTACGGGGCTAAGCCCCTTCCTCCCTTTGAGGCAGGAAAGCATCTCCCACAGAGAAAACAGAGAAAAATAGGTATACCTGTCCTTATGGAGAACTCCTTGGTTCCCGGGTTTCCCCGATGTCAGTAGCTCCCCACCACCACGGGGGAGAAGGCTGAGGAGATGCTGACAACGACAACCCTGTGTTGCTCCATGCTGGGGAGAGAGTTCCAGAGTTTTGGTGCCATCACCACGAAGGCCGTCTCCCGGGTTGCCACCCGCCTGATCTTCGAAGGGTCTGTTTAGTGTTTGTTATTTTTCCTTCACTGCCTAAAGTCTTGTGTTTTACTTAAACTTGCACAATTACTTAATAAAGAAATTATATTTTTACTTTGTCTTCGTTTTGGACTTCTTGGACCTCAAAGGCTAAATCTATTGCCTTGGACCATACACCGTTACTACTACCAACCTTTTGTCTTAGCTCAGTCTGTGGTTTACTCTGCAAGACTGACCTTTGTGTTTAAGTTCCAGAGCCAGCCTGGAGACTTTGGTCATTTTTCTCCAGACCTGTTGGGAACCAAGAAATGACCTGGTGGCAGACTACCTTTGAAATCTGGAGGGATTAATTAGAACGCCTTCAGTATTTTGTAAAAGTGCTTTGTAAACTGTTCTTTGAGCCATGACTCTGCACCCGGAGGGGTCAGCGTCCCTGACAGTCCGCTTTATCAGTTCATGGTGGTGGATTGTCTGAGGAAGCAAGGAGCTGCCGAGCTCTCAGCAAGGCGCCAACGGACAGCTTGTGCATCGTGTTCCCACACACGTAGCCCTCGTTTTGTTAACAGCAAATCAACCGGCATCAAGGAGGACTTTTTGGGAATTTCTGGACATCACAGATGATAGCTCCAGTCAGGGCTCTACTGGTAGCAGAAGCTCCTTTGCATATTAGGCCACACCCCCTAGTGTAGCCAATCCTCCAAGAGCTTACAGAGCTCTTCTTACTGGGGCTACTGTAAGCTCTTGGAGGATTGGCTACACTAGGGGTGTGTGGCCTAATATGCAAAGGAGCTCCTGCTACCAGTAGAGCCCAAATGTAGGGTGTATGTGGCAGCAAAGTTGGCATTTGGGATTATTGCAAGCTCTGGTCCCAGTGTCCATGTTCACGTCAGATGTTGCATTATTGTGGGTGAGGATCTGTTTTGAGATTGGGGGGCTGTCTGTGCACAAGAAAAGGTTTGCCCCCTCCCCAGTACTTGTGAAAGAGAACTGTCCTTATCCAGTAGAGCTTGTAAGTCACTGATGATGCATTGAACTCTTTTGAGTTGAGAGTTGTATGTGGTGTTCTATGATTGCGTTTTTTGAGCCTGTCTTGTGACAGCTTTTCCTCTGAGCACCATTCTGGCTTTTGTTAAACTGTTTCCTAACTTCATCGGGTGGATGCTTTAGCTCCAAAAAGGTTTGTTCATATTCGTATATCTTTATTGGCATATCAGCAATCACCACTAAATAATAATTCAATCAATAAAATACAGAAAATACAAAATCCATCAGATACCAAGTTTCATACAAGGATTTCATAACGGGGGTGGAGAACCAGAAACAACACTATATAGAATTTTCTTCCACTAGAAATTGAGCAACTACAACAGTAATTTCAGGAGTCAAATCATTCAAAAGGAACTGACATTTACAATCATTGTTCAAATGGCTTTTAGAGTGAATCAATTTGGAAAGCAACCTCAGAAAGGTTTGTGGTAGAAATCAGGTGGAAATCTCTGTCTGTAGGACTGTAGCGGATGGGACTGTAGTGTAGAGCTTGGCGGTATACAACGGATCTTCCAGAGCTCTGGAGAGGACGTTTTGGGTATCGTTGGCAACGTTCCTTAGACATCTATGCAGCATGTAGTAGCTGGTAAAAACCGAACTGCAACCTGACACCCAGCAGCCAATGAACGGGAAGCAATTCAACCAACAATATTCCAGGACCATCACAATGGCTCCCACGAGGTCGAGAAGCCTCCAAAGAATCACGGGCAGGAGCGCTCTGGACGCCATCGCCGCCCAAAGGACCGCCACCGGCTTCTCAACAACCTTCGCCAGAACTGTGAGCACCGTGTCGTCCAGGCCAAAGACTTGGTAGCACTGTGTGCGGAACTTCAAAAAGAAGAACATGGCAACCACGAACGAGAACCCTGGCACAGGCTGCAAACCTAAAAACCCCAGGTGAAGGGCTTTGAGCATAATCTTCCCCTCCATCAGGGCCTTCTTGCTCTCTAAGACAGGTGCGGAGAAGTAAGGCAGGCTGAAAATGAAAGCTTGCCTCTTCAGCCACAAGAGGTCGCTCTCCAGCGTCTTCAACAGGAGGGGGAAGTCCATGCTCCAGGGGTCCAAGTTGGACACCAGGAAGACTTGGGGGTCGATCACGCTTTCTTTCAGCAAGGCCATCATGCAGTCCTCTTTGATGCACTGGAGGACCTTCTCATCGTCATAGCCCGACGGTTGCTGTTTCCGGGACGCCTCCAGGTCGAGGTCTGTTTTGGCCCGCACAAAATAGAACATCTTGCCCATCGCCTGGATCTCATGGACGAGGTCAGCGTGGACAGTCTGGAAGTGCTGGTAGGCAACAATGATGAAGAAGTCAAAGCGGTTC